CTGTCCCACAGCACCCTGTGTCTGAGGCCCCGTGCCCACACTCCCACCCTGGCCTGCTGCTCTGCAGTGACAGAGGGAAAGACACTGATCTTTCCATTTCAACTGCAGTTTCCTCAAGTGAGACGCCTGCCAGCACCCGACCCCATCTCTGCTCCCTAAGGTCTGTCCCAGCCAGAGAGGCTGATGGACTCCTCACTGTGACCTTCTGAATCCAGTGAGGATCTCAACAGAGGGTCTCACATGCTCCCCAGTGTGTGGGCCTGTAGTTACCTCTGTTCTCAGAGTGTCACACAGCAGCAGGGCTGTGTTGTATGCTTTACTCTTTCCACTGCAATTACGAGGATGGAAGGCCCTCCTTATCCACAGTGGACACATCCTGAGCCCAGGGGATGCCTGAAGGTCAAGGTAGTCCCTGACCTATACTGTCTATACTGCTTATTTTCCTACCAGCACACACACATACATGCTAAAGTGCAATTAGAAATTAGACCCATTAAGAAATTGACAACTTAATAAAATAGAATGATTATTACAGTACTCTGTGATAAAAGTCATACGGATGTGTTCTGTTTCTCTCAACATATCTGGTTACCGTGCTCACCCCTCTTCTTGGGATGATGAGACATGGCTCGGCTACCATGTGAGGGTTACGTGAACCCAGCACGTCAGTGCCTCCACACTTGCTTAAGAGTTGAGATGGTTACTAAGTGAGTAGCAGGTGGGTAGTCTATACAGAGTAGATACACTGGACCAAGGGATGACCACACCCCAGGCAGGATGGAGAAGGATGGCTACTCAGAACGCCACATGATTCAAAACATATGAGTTATCCACTCGTAAAGTTTTCTGATTAATAATTCCAGAACACAGTTAACCCTGGGAGACTGAAACACTGGGAAGCAGAAGCAGGGGGAAGGTGAATGATGATACAGTATTTGTTCCAAAAATAGGAATTATCAGTTCATATTAACCCAGTGCATTTTTGCCAATTTTACTGACCGTTAGTTTTTGGTTTTTAATTTCAACAAAAGCTTAGCCCCTAGCACTTAGTTTTTAAAGTTTAATTTGACAGTTTCAATGTACTTTTCCTTTTTTGTGTAAGAATCATATTGAAATTAAAAAATGATAAACTATCTTCATGGTTTGTTTTTAAAAACAAACACAGAAGCCAGTTTGGCCCGAGGGCACATCTTGCACAAGTACCAGCTGTGAGGAGAGGTGGGAAAGGGGATCACGCCTCCTGGCGCAGTTTTCAGACCGCGTGCCTGTCGGAAGCAGGATCTGTGCCAAGGATGAGGGGGTTCTTTGGATTCTGTCTCGGATTCCGCATTTTTAACCAGATTTTGGATATGCAAGTTAATTACACGGTTCTGCTCTGACCGTCTCAGAGGCCCTGAAAGTAAAACCTTATCAACTTTTTAATTTACCATAAATTAATATATATTTAATGAATTAATAAAGTTTAAAAATGCACAAGGGAAATATATTGTTTAATGTAAGAATTTACTATAAAATTCCTTTTTTTTTTCTGAGAACTACAAATGGAACTTGGATTGCACTGCTCAGTGGTGAGCAGCTGAAGCCCGCTCTGGTTCCAGAGGGAGGATGGGCTGCAGTGGCAGGAATCCGCGGGACTGGTCTGGGGGCTGCGTTGCCCCAGAACCCAGCGTCTGCGAATGGTCACTGCACTGAATAACTTGCATATCCAAAATCTGGTTAAAAATGGGGAATCTGAGACAGAATCCAGTGCACACACTGTGGCTGCCCTTCAGCCTGCAGCTGGCACCGAGGACAGACGGGTGTGCAGACAGCTTCTCTGGGGTGGAGGGGAAGGAACCAGAGCTGAAATTCACCTCCATCCCGTCCTCAGGGAGGTTCTCAACAAAAAGAGGAAGGCGGGGGTGGGGGGGCTGATACTGCTTCCATTGCCTGGACAGAGATGGGGGGTGGACAGGATGCCAGAAGGGCACAGGTGGGGTGGCCCTTGTCCCGGGAGCAGCAGTCAGGGCCTGCTGTCTTGCTGAGTGGGGCGTGTGAAGGGAAGGGGTGAGCCGCAGCCAGGTGATCAGAATCAGGTCTCCGCACGGGGCCTCGGGCACCCCATCCACCAGCATCCACACCTGCGTATCAGGGCAGCGGGCCGTGTTGGTGGCCAGGACTTCAGTCCTCGTGGTGTCTGTAGGACAGGCTTCTAGTGCACTCCTGGGTGCCTGTGTCCCCACCTGTGTTTATGTGTTGACTGGACATTTTAAAGTCCCAGCAGACATGATGAGGGGGAAGCAGAAGGCACGGCCCAGGGGAATTCCAGCCGTTCTCTGCAAAACACAGGAGGGGACCCAGGGATTGACTGGGAGGACGAGGGGTTTGTGAGAAGGCTGTGCCAGACGAGTGTTCAAGAGTCCCATAGCCCTGACTTCCGGGCAATGGCCTTGTGGCCTGGTCTATTCCTGTCCTGCAACTTCTCCCTCGTGCCCCGCATGCCCGAGGTCTCCAGGAGCTTGCTTGGTGTGTCCCCGTGACTCTCTCCACAATGGGGCAGGACAGAGCGTGGGAAGCACCAGCACTCGTTCCTCCCTGCGGGGACGTCCAGTCCTGGGGCAGGTTTTCACACCTGGAAAGCAGGTGAAGTCCGAGTACCTGAGGGGAGGTGTCAGATGCGCTGGGGCCTCCTGGTGCCACCATGCCACAGGCAGAGCTGTGGGGCAGCTCCCGGGGCTCGGCCTGCTGCACGCCGCTCACCATTGTCATCCTTGTGGGACATTTCCCGTGCTCCATGACGGCTCGAGGACGTGACTTCTCCTCGTGCTCCTCCACCCACAACTCCTGCCAGTCATGCGAGCCCTTCCCACAGGAGCCCTGCTAGGACTCACCACAAAGCGGAGGAAGGATGTGGACGGAGAAGACGCTCCTGTCATGGGTGATGGGCACTGATGAGCCACCCTGGCAGGGGACCCGCTCTGCGCGTGGCAAAGCACAACCATTAGCAGTGGTGACGTGGAGTGCTTCAAAGTGCTCTGTCCTGGACACATAGCCCAATTATTCTCTGCTCCTGCCCCAGCTAGACAGAGCCGGATCTCCAAATGGAGCCTCGGAAGTTAATGGGAAGGGATATAAATAGATGCTCCCGAGCGTAGTTCGTGCAGGACTGAGAAAGGCAAGGGCAGTCCTGGGGCATCTGCTCACCGCCGCCTCCTGGTCCAGGGCCTTCCCTTCTCCAGCTCGAGCTCCGGAATCTCCCAGGCTGTCTTTATTGCCAACATGGTGAGGGTTCTGACCCAGGTAAAAGGAGGGAGAGGGTTCTGGCTCAGCACTTTAGTGCACCTTCCCGGCAATTCCAGTGCAGGCTGATGTCCAGGATGGTGTCCACCCACGAGGGTGTTATGCCCTGAGCACACTCCGTCCTGGCAGGGGGCCTGCAGAGCTCTTGGTCTGCTCTTCAGAGCCTGCTTACGGAATCACACTCTGAATCCCCCTCTTCCAGGCACTCCCCTCCTGGGCCTGCAGGAGAGGTCGCGGTCAGATCTCACGGTCACTGTAACAGTCCTGCTTCTCTGCTGGACTCCTCTTTGATCTCTCTCCGGCCTGGTCCTTCTCTCAGGCTCCACACTCAGGATCGCAGTGGCTTGGATCATTCCCCTCGTTGCCTCGCAGTCGGGTACCCTGAGGCTGAAGCCCACCCCCCCATGCAGCAGAACACACTTTGCAGGGAGGGGCTTTGAGCACCTTGGGGGTCCCTGCTCAGGTGTCCACCACATGCCCTCAGCTTTCTCCGTTCTCTGCACACGCTGTGATATGGCTTGGGCAGTCTCCTGAGGGTAGCACCACAGAGACTATCACGAGCACCCTTGGCTGCTGGGCAGGAGCAGTGCACCCCATCTCTTCTGGGCACTGTCTCCTGGACCAGCAGCACCCAGTGCTGGGATGGGGAGGCTGCTGTGTTCCAGGCCTTCAGGTTCAGTAGGTGGTCTCTGCTTAGGTGCTGCCTGCTGCTTTAGAGGTTTGGTGTCTATTTCGTTGTAGCTGTGACGCACGATGGGACCTTAAAGTGTCCCCTGTGCCCCCAAAACTCCAGACTGTCTTCTGTAAACTCAGGACTGAGGGAAACACATGACTTACTACGGTACTAAGGAAGCTTTGTGAATCCGGCACTGCCCCACCTCCTCCTCATCGCAGAGGCAGTCAAGTGCCCATCCGTGGGGGCTGTGCTAGCTCTGGGAGGGGGACTGGACCCAGTGTCTGCCGGGGAGTCCTATACACAACTCCTTCCCAGGCCTGGACTCTCTGGAGAGTGCAGCTGTCCCTTGCACTGGCCTGCTGGTGGGAACAGGAAGTCACGGGGGCTCTCTGCCTCCCTCGGACCTGGGAAAGCACAGTGCCCATCCCTCGCAGGTGCCCAGGCAGTCGGGGCGACAGGCTGCTGTCCAGCTCCTCCAGGTCCGGCCCTGCAGACCTCAGCCAGACCAGGTGTTCTGCGGGAGGGGCGGCCCTCAGCAGACGCTGCGGGAAGTGTGGACGGAGGAATTGCAGTCTCCCGTGGCCTTGTTCCACCTGTAACTAACTCCCTAGGGGCATGTGGGTTGGTGTAGGTGGGTGTGGATGACCAGTTGGTCACTTCCAGAAGAGCTTGTGCTTGACTGGAAATATTTAAACTAACTAAGCCAACCTCAGCTGGTTCTAGTTACCACCTTTAGCACATGAAAACTCAACCAAGCAGCTCACTTACAATGTCCATTAAAGAAGCATCTTGTTAGGAAACAGTTCAAGGAAATTAGCTCCATGTTGTTAAAATGGCTGTTCCAGCTGATTGAATGTTTGGCAGTTTGGGGAGCAGAATAAACCCAGGCACAGGTGGAATTCACCCGGAGATGATGTTCTCCTTGGGTGAACTTTCTGAAACAATGGGAAATTCCCTTTGTTTATGATCTGTTGTGGGTTTTGGCGTTCACTTTTCGTAATGCATAGCTGTTTCTAAGAGGCGTTTGGCGTGTTTCTCTTTCTAGTGGTGAACTGTTCGGACCCAGGCTTCGTAGAGAACGCTGTTCGCCAGGGGCAGCAGAGCTTCCCAGAGAGCTTTGAGTATGGAGAAAGCGTCCTGTACCATTGCAAGAAGGGCTTCTACATGCTGGGATCTTCGGCCTTGACCTGCATGGCCAACGGCTTGTGGGATCGCTCTTTGCCCAAGTGTTTGGGTGAGTGAGGCCGACTCAGAGTCTCGCTCCTGAGTCCCGAAGGGCCACCAGCAACACAAGTTCATTTTAATTTATTCAGAAAAGCACGGAGTTTTAACTCTGCCTCTCCCGCCACCCATTTCTGACAGGTTGTATGATAGCTTAGACAGATGGGCCGAGTCCCCCCAGATCCACCCTCATTAGTGTGAGATGGGATGAAAGGAGAGGTTGGCATGTGCACACGTGGGTCCCAGAGAGAAGTGGGCCCAGGTCCTGGTTGTCCCTTGGGCCAGTCACACCTCTGCCTGCTCCATGTGGGATGTACCACATACCCCACAGGATCCCCACTAGGCCCTGCCTAGCCCATCCCCCTGCTCCAGGTTCACAGACGGAGGCCAGGGGCACTGGGAAGGAGCGAGCTTCCTGCCTGTCTTCTGCGGCAGGGAGCTGGCTTCCCGAGCCCCCCAGCCTGCTCTGGGGTGACAGTGAGGTCAACAGTAACTGCACCTAAGAGAGCATCTGACAGAGCCCACACGGGGGCTTTGCTGGGGAGAACAGAAGGCTCTTCTGGAAGGACAAGATGATCAGTGACCAGCACGGCCCCTGGAGACTTGACTACCAGTGTTTTCAGAGATGCACGTTAGCGAGTTGGTATCACGTTAACCAAGTAGCTGCAGTCTTATTTTCTTTCACTTGAAAGATAAGATTGTACTTTAGCTTCAGAGAGAATCATTTTTGAAATAACATAGTCAGCGACTTTAGGAAATGAAGTTACTCCCTTTGGCCTTTTTAAATCAGGACTAAACAAGGTAGTCTTTAAATGGAGACTGTTCTTCTGGTCCCAAATGCATTTCCAGGGCGTGTAAGCAGCAGGGAGTGGCCAGGACCCTGTGAGCTGAGCTCTGAACCTCACAGGTGCCATCTCACCCCCTGAGCGGCAGCACTGCCAGGTTCATTCTGGGGAAGAAGGGTGCTGGAGAGCTTTCCCTCAGGGAGACTTTTCAGGGAGACTCCTTTGGTTTCCTCCTTTCCCGACATTTACATCTCCCTGGGGCCGCGTCTCCCGGAGGCCTTGCCCTCAGGTGAAAGTGCCCAGGCCTGGGGCCTCGTGTGGCGGACTGTTTCCAGGTGCTGTCCTCCTCCTGGCTGTCCTTGACAAGGGGATGGGGTCTCTGGGCCACTTGCTGTGGTGGCTGCAGAGCCACTGAGAGCATCACCAGCCTGGCTGCTCTGCTGTCACTCACAGCCCTCCTTCTCTCCCAACTCACCTGGACTTGGCCATTATGCAGGGTTTCAGTGTTTGGGGTCTAAGTGGCTTCTTTTTAGAACTCTGTAGTTAAAATGTGACTCTTCAGGGAATAAACGTCAATGCCAGACAGAGGGTGAGGGCTAATGTGACCCAGGTGGCCTTCCAGCCCTCTGGACCTGCCTCTCTGGTGGAACCTGCCGCTCGGCCTCCACTTGGAGCTTGCTAGTGACCAAATGGAGTTGCCCAGGATATTAAGTCAGTGGCCTAGATCCAGCCAGGTAGCCTTGGTGGCCTTAATCCAGTTAGTTCTTTGCTTGTAACAGAAAAGTGTGTTATTTTTTATCTTTAATTTGGTAGCTCATGGGAAAGGGAGAGATAAATCTTCACTGTCCTATAGTAATCAGGGTTCTAGAATTCTCCTTTTTGAGGCATATTTATGAATAGATTATGGACCAGGCTTATAATTTTAAGGAAATGTGAAATACTGGGTTGTTTTATAATCAGTTCATCGAACATTTAATAGTGTTGGTACTTACACATTTTAGATCGCCACATTTTAGAAGTCCTAGAATGGTTTTCTTAGATATAGAAACTTGAAGGTCAAATCAGTTTGACAGAATGTTGTCCCCGAGCGAAGTGTATGATTGTCATGTTAAATGAAAACATGGCGAAGTGGTTTGATGGTCCTTGTCAGCTCTGCAGAAATCCCATGATGCCCATATTTCCCACGTGGGCTACCAGGGTCAACGGGGAAACCAGGCTGCAGAGTTTTGTCTTTGAAGACCACATGCAGATTTCAACCCTAAGAAAGCTGCCTCAACAACAAACACACAAACCAAGACGTTGACAGAAGCTCTCCTTTTCTTTAGTACTAAATGTTGGGAGTGGGTGCCGTGCAGAAATTTGCTTTGCCCACCTGTAGGACGCAGCAGGGACATTGTGACATAACTAGGGGTTTGGTTTAAGCAGGTGATGTCTGCATGGTTGTCTGTAATGGAGATTTAGTAAGTGCAAAGCCGTTTCACTGGAATGATGTCCTCTTTATGTCAATCTTTTCTCAGCCATATCTTGTGGGCACCCTGGGGTCCCTGCCAATGCTGTCCTAACTGGAGAGCTGTTTACATATGGGGCCACCGTCCAGTACTCCTGCAAAGGGGGCCAGAGTCTCACAGGCAACAGCACCAGAGTTTGCCAAGAAGACAGTCACTGGAGTGGCAGCCTTCCACACTGCTCAGGTGAGGAACCGCAGGGTGCACACTTGACAGAGAAGTCCTCAATCCTGCAGCTATCCGACATTGCATGTTCCATTTCCACCCAGATGTGCCACCCTGTAGACTCTCATCATCCTCTTCACCATCATCACTGCTGTCGGATACATCAGCAGTCTTCACATTGGCTGGGTCCCCATCCCTGAATCATCACCATCACATCTGTCACTAGTGCTCTCACATAGATGGTCATCAGCATCGTCACAGGGTCACTGGTCCCCATCACACACATCATCATCATCTTCACATGGTCTCTGGTCCCCTCGCTTTCCACCTTCTCGGTAGGAGTTTCTGGCTGTCCTTGCTGGGACACCTGCTGCCCTTGCTAGGACACTTGCTTACCATGGCTCAGTGTGTCCGTGTTTGCTCTTTACGTTTTTTCCTACATTCCTCTGAATCCTTCCCCATATTTAGTGCCCCAGCAGCAGTAATCACATTGATCCTCTGAAAGACATAATCACCTCATATCTTTATGAATGTTTCTTAAAATGCACTGTTACTCTGTACCTGACTGTGGAGACTGGGACCTCTCCTGTGACGTTCTGAGAACACCAGGCACCTTACCTGCCTCCCCTTTGCTGTCTGTTCTTACCTTTCCAGGGAACACTAGCTCACGCACCACTAGCAGAATTTGATTTCTTCCAAAAGAATGTTATTTGTCCTCATAACAATATTTTCATAGGCTATTTCCTTGACACAGAGACAATGTCTTCCATTTTGAAGGCTATGATTAAAAAATCTTACAAGATTGCCAGAATACTATGTAACCATAACTCATGTCCAAGAGGTATTTAGATTTTAGTGTCTTAGTATAACAATGCGTTTCACACGAGTCTCACACAACTGTGCATTGCTGTGTATTTATGTTCCGCAGGAAGCACTCCTGGATTTTGTGGAGACCCAGGGACGCCAGCCCATGGGTCTCGCCTTGGGGATGAATTTAAAACGAAGAGTCTCCTGCGTTTCTCCTGTGAGATGGGCCACCAGCTGAGGGGCTCCCCTGAGCGCACCTGCCTGCTCAACGGGTCATGGTCAGGAGTGCAGCCCGTGTGTGAGGGTGAGGAGCTGGAGCTGTGGAATCCACCTTGAGGCTTCAAACCTTAGCTCATTCCAAGCTGGCGAGCGAAAGTCCCTGACAGTCCTAGAGACATGTGATATGCACAGTTAAACCCTCTCCCCCAAAACTGGCGAGAGCATCAATGAAAATCATGAGTGAGCACCTGGAGAGACCCTGCTTGTCCAAGAGATCCCACAGCACTGGCCCATACTATAAAACTTCATAGCACAATGGTGGCTTCTGATCTGATGACAGATAATCTCTGTAGGATTTCTTTTTTTAATCAGGGGCACTCAACCACTGAGCCACATCCCCAGCCCTATTTAGAGGCAGGATCTCACCGAGTTGCTAAGCACCTCACTTTTGCTGAGGCTGGTTTTGAACTCGCAATCCTCCTGCCTCAGCCTCCAGAACGGCTGGGATTACAGGCGTGTGCCCCTGTGCCCGGCTCTCCATAGGATTTGCTTGTTTTATGGGTGTGGCAGTGAGGGCGGCGTGAGCAGAGCTTTGCAATAACTGACCAGCTTTCTGCAGGCAGGAAATGCACACATCCTCGTACATTCTCCTGAAGTTCAGGTCACGTAGACTTTGGTTAGCATCTAGTCTTTAATCATAGGCTTATCAGTGTTCCAAAAGGCCCCGTCTCCTGAAGTTGCTCAAAAGTAACTACGTCATTGGTTCTAGCTGCTTGGGAAACTCCCCGTCTTTTCTCCATGTGAGTTTGATCATGCCTAAGCTGCTTCAGGTGACAGAGATATGATAATGATGAAGACAGCCATCACACAGACATTGTGTTTTATACAGTAAATTTGTGATCACATTCTTTTCTTTCCTTTTTTGTGGATTTCAGAAAATACTTTCCAATTTAAAAAAAAAATATTTCTCTTTTAGTGACTCTAAATCTCCTTCCCTCCCTCCCTCCCTCCCTTCCTTCCTTCCTTCCCTCCTTCCTTCCCTCCTTTCTTCCTTTCTTCCCTCTCGACCTCTCTCCCTCTTTCTTTTTCACACTAGTGCTCTACCACTAAGCTACACCCCATTCCTTTTTTTTTTTCTTTTTTGGCCTAGGCAAAACTTGTGATTCCTGGCTCAGCCTCCTGAATGGCTGAGATTATAGGCAGGCTCCCTATACCTGGCTTCCTGTTTTGTTTTACTTTGTTGCAGTTATCAGTGAAAGTATTTCCTGACATCCACAAAAAAGGAAAGAAAAAAATGTAATCAAAAATTTATTATATAAAATACAACATCTGGGGGGAGCTTTCTCAGTACAAGGATGGCATTGTCATCAGAGAATTCACTTATCAGCAATATATAAGTTAAGTGGAATATTTTTCCACCTGTTATCTCACAGATTTTGACATTGGCCCTCCCTGGGTGGCATGGAGGTTTAAACACAGATATTAGTAGGAAATAGCAGAGCACAACAAGAAACCATCTGCTCTTTGGTTGATGGGTTACGTTAAGAATTTGATCACGGGGGCTGGAGTTGTGGCTCAGTAATAGAGCACTTGCCTAGCTCAAGGGAGGCACTGGGTTCGATCCCTATCACCACATGAAAAATTAAATAAACAAAATAAAAGTACTGTGTCCATTACAACTAAAAATATTTTTTTTTGAAAAAGGAGAATTTGATCACACAAAATAGAATTTGACCACATGAATCTTCTTTCCCTGACAGACTTCCAATTGGTACCTGTGCACAATACCTACTGGGTGCTAAGTAAAGAATAAATGTGGAATGAACAGGAGTCTTGAATGACCCAACACCTTGGTCTTTTGCAATATGAAATTTTGATTGACGTCATAGTAATCATAAATCCTTTAAGCTTTCGAGAACCTTAGTTGTCATCTGCTTCTAGAGTGGTCAATATTTCTCAACTCACAGGCCAACCAGGAAACTGCTAAGTGATCTGTGTTAGGAAAGACTGTAAGTTCAGACCCAGATCCTTCAGGGAAGAGGGTCGTGATTGATAATCATGTCTGCTGTGGGCTCGGGATCAGAAGCACTGCTGTGTGTGCTCTCTATAAGATGCAGCTCAGCCTGGCGTGCAAATGTACTTTTCCAAATTAATAAGAAAGGTAACCTCCTTGAATTGCAGAATAGTGACTTGAGTCCTATGCAAAGTATTCACTGAGTTTTCTTCCATATTTTTAAGAGCAATGTATCTTTGTTCTCAGAGCTAGCTTTGAAGGTGGAGCAAATAAATATGCAAGTGTAATTTCTAATATGTTGATCATTCCCAGGAAGTCTCAGGGCACATTCTTGTGTAGTCGAACAAGGGTTGCAGACCTTTTTTGCCTGCCTATTGTGTGTTAGTGTGACAGGGATAAGGAGGACTATGACAGTCATCTGGTAAATAGGTCAACTAAGGCAGCAAAAGCATTGGGTTGAATTTGCCTCCTTGAAATGAGCCACAGAGGCCTGGCGAGCCTCAGTGGCAGACAGAGGAGCACGCGCAGTGAGCACTAGGTGCAGACCTGCCACATTAGGTGAGGTGTCAGAGCCTGGGAGTGGCCGTGAGAAGCAAGCGTTGAGAGATTCGCAGTCTGACGTCAGCGAAGGCGTTCACGTGGCACGATGGGTCCAGCTGTCTGGGGAGCCCATCCTACCACACGGTTTGGGCTAGTCTCTCACGGTCCCCAAGGCACACAGTTTTCCAAGTGAATTGTCCTGGAGATGTGATATATGACCAAGTTGCCAGATTTTGAAAAAAAAGCCAGTGTGTGAAGGGGATGCTTCAAAGATACTAATAGCACAAAAGTAAATTTTTTAAATTATTGTGAAATTTTAAAAAATTCACAATGATTCTATCTAGGTATAAAAATGTGTTTGATCCCAAAGTAGAGAGACTTTGAATTTTCAGGGGTTTAACTCATGTTTTGATTGGGTTGAAAGCAATGAACTTCGGGAAGGATCAGGTGAACATGCAAGTTTCACATTTGCCCTGTTCTATAGAATGATCCACGGGCATGATCCAAAGTGCACATCGACGCCCTTCCACAGACACACAGGCAGTTTTGTAACCAACATGCCATCCCCTGAACTCTTAGCCCTCCATCCCCGACACCTCAGCCAGAGGTCATCCACTTTGTGTTGCTGTTCTGCTCTCCCAACAGCCGTGTCCTGCGGGAATCCCGGCACCCCCACCAATGGCATGATCGTTAGCAGCGACGGTGTCCTGTTCTCCAGCTCGGTCATCTACGCATGCTGGGAGGGCTACCAGACCTCAGGGCTGACCACGCGGCACTGCACGGCCAACGGCACCTGGACAGGCGCGGCTCCCGACTGCACAAGTTAGTGGCAGCCCCTGGTGGTGGGCACAGGACACTGCTGTGAAGTCCATGTGCTGAGAAAAAGCAGCATGATTCCAAAATGTCCTATTAAATTTTAAAGTTTATACATAAAGACGGAAAACTATTCCCTGGATATTAAGAGTCTGTTCCTTAGACACTTTAAGATTGTCATCTGCTCTGTTATTTATCTAGTGCCAGTTTCCGTACATGGCCAGTTACGTTCTGTGCTGTAAAACAGATGCTAAAAAGAAAATGGCAAGGCTCTCTCTGTAGACCATTTAGTCTACAAAGAAATAAGATGTTTGGTTCTCTGACCACGGCCTGCATTGTGGCCTTGGCCGGCCTCGCATGATTGCCCAGCAGGCCTGATCAGGGACAGCTGAGGACAGCAGCCAGCGTCCACACAGCAGCCGCCAATAGAATAGGAATAAGTGATTCAAGCACATGGCCTGCTGACAGTGGTCAATCCATTCATCAGACAGAGGCTAGGGACAATTCCATAATTCACTGTATAATCACTTTGAGTAGCAGCTCAGTGTGTAACTTGAACAGAGACCAGGACTAATTTATGCTAAGATAATTTCATGTATCTCTGGTTCTTCTTGTTACCTGCCTCTAGTTATAAGCTGTGGCGATCCAGGTTCACTGCCCAATGGCGTCCAGTTTGGGTCTGATTTCACCTTCAACAAGACAGTGACCTATCAGTGCAATCCTGGCTTCCTCATGGAACCTGCCTCGTCAGCCACTATTCAGTGCACCAAGGATGGGGTGTGGAATCAGAGCAAACCTGTCTGCAAAGGTGTGTGCCTCATGTTTTGGTCTTGCTAAGATGTGGAGGTGTCTTTGTAGAATTATGTTTTTTTGTGTTTGTTTTTTTTTTTTTTTTAATTTTGCAAGTATGTACCAAGCCATTCTGGGAGCTAGAAATTCTGGAATTCTTGACAACGTGTTTGGGAACACTAGGTTTTCACAGTAGGCTAATGCTGGTGTTGCAGATGGGGAACTGTCATCCACAGAGAGGTGTCGTGGGTGGCCTGGGGTCACAAATCGGGAATGGAGGCAGGAGTGTTCCCATGACAGTTGTCCTGCCTGGAGAGGACGTGAATATAACTGGGAGCAGAGGGGCAGGTTAGGACACAGGCAATCTCCTGTAGGAGCAGGCCATGAGGTTGGAGGGTTGGAGGCCAGGAGGGAAGGTGGCACAGGCACCGAGAAGACCACGCTCATATCACTGCTCTCTGGGGACAGGACAGGCTCACTCCCTTCTGGGTGACCCCAGGCAGCAGGGGGGTGGGTTGACCTGGGGGCAAGGAAGTAGGAGTGTGGGAGGCGGGGAGCACCATGTGGTTAGGCGGTCCACACCGTAGAGGAAGCGCCCTGCCCTCTGCTGGCCCAGGTGGGGTGGAAGGGGAGCAGGCGTCCAGGCTTGAGAGCTGCAGTGGTCCAGCACAGAGGGAGACAGGAGCAGAGCGAGGCTGTGGGAGCCAGAGCCAGGGCCTGGACGCCCTGGACATGGTGCTCAGGGACCTGGAGGATTCACAGAGACCCCGAGAACGTGGCTCCCGTCCTCCCCTGGCCCTGCCTGCTCCCCAGACCACCCTGCACTTCCCCCACGTAGAGTCCAGGGTTCTCACCATGGTCCTTTCCCTACCTGCAACTCCTAGCACTAAGTGCAGCCCGGGGTCAACGTGTGCTGGCACACAGCCATGTGAGAGTGGTGTGTGTGTGTGTGTGTGGCGGGGGGGGGTTACCAGCACAACGGCCTGGCGTGGGGCTTCCCGGGTGCTCCTGCAGACCGTCTTCCTCTTGCTGACACCTGTCACATTCATAGTCAGCACCCACCGTGGTCCACAAGGCCCTTCCAGAACAGACTCCCCACCTCTCTGTCTCTTTCCCCTTGAAGTTTCTCTGAAGATTCACCCATCACCCTCTGTGAACTGTGGGGCTCATTCCTGATCCCAACCTGAAGCCTGTCCCATGTACCTGTCCACCAAACTTACACCTGTGGATTCTCAGGAAATACCTGTTGAATCTCTAGAGTAGGGAAGGCAGATCCATGCAGGCCCCAGGGGCCAAAAAAGTGGACATCAGGCCCCAAGACTGTGCCCCAGCCCCGGCAAGGGCTGGTCTGTAGGCCTCGTTGAACCTTCACGCATTCATTTTCAGGGTTCAGCAAATGGGTGAACAGGCTGCACCTTCAGGAAGTTATATGTTATCTGTAAATAAGTGAAACTTACAAATGAAAGGAGAAAATCTCACCACCTCTATGTATGAAACCAAAGGTGTCATTCGTGTTCTATGACCAAGTCCTCATTTGATTTGTCCCTGGAAACCAGCCCAAAAAGACACAAATGGAATGAGAAAGTGTCTTCCCCTTTGGCCTGAGCACGTGGGGAGTGCTGTTTGATCCTGTTCCATCCTGCAGCCATCAGGCGTTGACTGCACACTGCTTTTGTACACACGACCTAAACTAACTGGAGAACAGTTGTGAGATCTTATCACTGTCTTCCTCAGTAGTTCTCCTATTTGAAAAAGAACATAACCCTACATAGATGTCCTTTGAATTGGGGGAGAACTCAGCCCCGGCCGTGGGCACGGGCAGCCGTGGGCGCGGGCACCGAGGCGCTCAGACGTCTTACTGCTTGTTCTTGGATGCAGCGGTCCTGTGCAGCCAGCCTCCGCCGGTGCCGCATGGGAAGGTGGAGGGGACCGACTTCCGCTGGGGCTCCAGCATCAGCTACAGCTGCGTGGACGGCTATCAGCTCTCCCACTCGGCCATCCTGTCCTGCGAAGGCCACGGGGTGTGGAAAGGAGAGGTCCCCCAGTGCCTGCGTAAGTTCCGCAGCGACACCAGTTCCACTTCTCCCAGAGCCGCAGTCACTGCACACACCATGGTGGCAACTTGAGGCCACAGTGATGTGCAGTCGTAGCCAAGTTACAACACGTAGCATCCTACACTGGGGTCGGCCTTGCCGGAGGGCAGGGGCTTTCCTCCAAGATCTAACAGACACTAGTACAGGTCTAGCTGACCCAGCCTCCAGGTGACATCTACCGGTTGCTCTCCACAGCTGTGTTTTGTGGAGACCCTGGCACTCCTGCTGAGGGCCGGCTCAGTGGGAAGAGTTTCACCTACAAGTCCGAAGTCTTCTTCCAGTGCAAATCTCCGTTCCTACTCGTGGGGTCCTCGAGAAGGATCTGCCAAGCTGACGGCACGTGGAGTGGCATACAGCCCACCTGCATCGGTAAGCAAAGCCCCAGGGCTTGGGGAGGTTTAGGCACAGGACACTGCAGTCCCAAACCGGGTCATTGGTGGTTCCAGGGTGCTCCACAAAAGGTGCCGCTCTGAGTAAGTGCTAGCGGCTGACCACCTGCAGCCCCTCCAGCCTGCACACAGCCATCCTCTGCCAGCACACTACCCGGTGCTCCAGCCCTGGCTACGCCACCCCGCAGGGAAGCCTCCTGCAAGATGGGGCCTTACTGGTCCTTGAACAGCCTCCAGCCAGGCAGACTCACCCCAGGGTTGAGTTGATTTTGATCACTCAGTTTTACTGAGCTATTTTCCTGCAAATTTGTAGTAAAAAAATAATGGCATTTAATCTTGGTTATTTTCTAAGAAGTCAAATAATATCTACTTAAAAATCAAGACAGTATTAGAAAAATTTCATTGAAGCATTCTTTTTCCTAATTCTGTTTATTGTCATTTGATTTAAACTGCTGCTACATGGTAGATATTCCTACACTAAAAGTATTTTTTTTTCTTTCTTGTTATGGGTTAGTTGCTATAGAAAACAAATTTTAGAAAGTTGTTTATTTTTTATTTTTATTTTACTTTTGTGAGCAGCAAGGAGCACCAGTGTTGCAGCAGGATAGCTTGTGACCACTCCTATCCTACGTGCTTGGCAAAGGTCACTGCTGGACAACCTTACACTTCCTTTTGGACCATTAAGTGGATTTCTGCTTTTGAAATTTTGAAAATTTACTGAAGAAATTTGGAAAAATGTCATGGATGACCAGCTGAGATGACCATTAAATAAACCCTTATCATAATATTAATCAACGATTATCAGTGAAGGAAATTAAACCAGAAAAGGGAGAAGAGCAACTTGTTCTTTTATAGTAAGAATATACAGAGCTACTCAAAGTCTGCTAACATCAGAAATTAATATCTAAAGAGGTCTGATAGAGGAAAGTTGCAATTTACTTCAAGTTTCATGACAAACATCTCACATATTGTCAAACAATGTTTCATCAACTTTGCAAAATCTCTTAATATCCACGCTGCCATGTTTTAATTGTGTGTTTCAGATCCTGCACACAATGCCTGTCCAGACCCTGGTACTCCACATTTCGGAATACAGAATAGCTCCAGAGGATATGAGGTACTTCATTTTTATTTTGCATGTTTTAGTGGAAATATAAAGTTGAGTGGATTCTTAAACACATTTTTGCACTTTTATATCATATTTTGTTCATCTTATATTTTCCCAAATGAAATCCATTCATTGAGGATTTCTGCATGTATTTGAACTGTCAAATTCAGCATAGCCTATGGGACTTGGTCACTCCTGTAACAATGGCTATGTTAATTTCTATTTGAAAACATGCATAAGTTTGTATTTATTTGTCTGTTATGCTCCAAGGGAAGTTCTCAATTACTAATTAATTGCACATCAAAGACTCCACTTAATGGCTGGATAGAATGGGTGGATATTAAATTTTAGAGAGAAAAAAAAAAACACAGAAGAAATTACATTCCAGCCCCTTGGTCCAGGCTAATTTGTGATACCTGTTCTCTCCTGAACTCTCCAAACACCACGGCAGACGAGCATCTGAACAGCACTTGTGAATGATCAGTTGGCGTTTAATAGAGAGCACATCAACACTGCGGTTAATATGCAGAAATGCTTAAAATGCAAGATAAGCTTGAAATAAGAAGTTTTCACCATCCTAAGAACCACGTAGCTCCAGGGCTGCTCTTCCTCGGCTGCCCCCTCCCATCTCCCAGGGACCCTAGTGTGTTGCTGTCTTACTCAGGCACACACTGCTAATTCCTGACAGCTCTCTGGCACTCCACAAAGAAGGTTCTCTCAGGTGCCGACAGGTGGAATCTAGTGCATTTTCTGTCATTTTGAGGTACGGCCTTAAACTTCAGGCCAATGCTTTTTGGTAAATAAACATTCAATGGCTAATATCTAGGAATATTATAAAATACTGTATGCGGACATTGTTCTCACTGACTCAAAACAAAAAATGAAATCTTGATCGCCATTGATCACGTGGCTTTCAGACCTCCTGACCTGCAGTGCACGGTGGGTGAGAGCTCATGGTGCCCTTCATTAGCAGCGTGTAAGGCACGGACGACTTGCACCCCCTCTTATGGCCCAGCGAAGTGCAGCAACACGAGTGGAGGGCCGTATGACAACTTAGGGGACAAGACACTGTCTTTAGAGTGAGTGCTGAGTCCCCGAGATGCACCTTCCTCCCCTGGGTGCTGAAACTCGACCCCCACACAATGAGCCCTTTCAGTTCTGGAATATTCCAGGTATACTTTGTTAATCACGCCAACTCAGGGACCAGCTTCCTCTGCTCAGCCAGACCCGTCCCACAAGTCCCCGAGCTCCCAGGTTGGTGTGTGGCATCCATCTAGGGTGGTGTGGCCACCCTGCTAAAGTGCCCCGTGAGGAGGGCACTGCTCTTGCTTTCTGCCAGGGGAAGACGCTCTCCCTCGCCTTCCCGCTGGTAGGCTGCAGCGTGTTTGCCAGGAGCTCTGAGTCAGGCCACTGGGAGGCTCACCAGGAGACCCGTGGAGGCCCCCGAGGAGCGTGACAGGCCCACCTTTCTCACCACTAACCAGAGTTAGCATCCAGAGTTTAGACGGCTTTGGAATTTTTCTTTGTAAATTCCTACTTCACTTTTTCCATGCTAAGAGCGTCACCCCCACTTCTCTTCAGTGTACCAACCGTCTCCTCACATTTTCGTACAGTTGTTCCCAAACTTCCAGCGAGGGCTGCGTGGTCTCACGCCTGTGGGAGACAGACACAGAGGAATTAAGGGACGGCTGTAGGTTCTCAGAGCACATGTCAGGATGTGTGTCTGCGTCTTAGGACTCTTGCTTGGCCCATGAGGAGAGACTTGGGGAGTGGCCCTGAGTGCGGAGCTGCTTTCCCTGGCCGCAGTTCCCCCCTCCGCCCTGCTTGGTCTTGTGCTTCAGGTGTAAAGGGTCATGGATGATCTCCTGTGCCCTCCACACTTGCCCATTTTTTAGAAAAAAATATAAAAGTCACCGATCCCTGAGGATTTTGGATATTCTGAAGCAACAGAAAGATGGTCAGTGGACTCCTTCAGAGCAGGAGGAAGTCGGCACCCTAGAAGAGTTAGCAAAAGTGATTTTCTAATAAATATCAATTGTTTAAAATGTGAGTGGCAGGAAAAAAAGAAAAGAAACTAATAGTTATTACAGTCTAGGAAGCAAGAGCCCTGAATTCAGAGAGAAAGTGTGCTCTCTTTGCCCAAACAGCCTCCTAACTTTCCGTGGTCTAAGATCTTACTCCACTCGCTGATGGTCTCTGTCCTGAAGGATGTCCGACCACAGTGGGAAGCGCAGGTAGCTTCCCACAGCTGCTCAGGGCAGGGCGGAAGCTGGCTGGCTGCGTCGCGTGGGCACCTGGGCTTGGCTCTGCATGCCGGGCCTGTTCTCTGCCCCTGACGCCTCCTGGTCTCCCTCCAGGTCGGGAGCACGGTGTTTTTCAGGTGCAGGAAGGGGTACCACATTCAAGGCTCCACCACGCGGACCTGCCTTGCCAACCTGACGTGGAGCGGGCTGCAGACAGAGTGCATACGTAAGTGGGCCTCTGCGCCACCGGGCACACCTGGCTGCCATCTGGGGAGGGCCTGCCCTGAGGGGAGCCAGGAGCAGTGTCTGTGTCTGACTGGACAGAGTTTCCTGGTCCTGAAGTGCGTGAGTCTCACGGTTGGGGACCTGGAGCAGCAGCAAGGCCAGGACCTGGGTGGTGATGCCAGTTCTCAGCCCCAGACCTGTGAGTCAGAAACTCTGGAGGGAGGTGGGCTGGGAGTCTATGCTTAGCGAGCCTTCCAGTTAACAGTACCAGGCTAAAGTCAGAAGTCCTGGCACCACACCCCTTTCTCCTTGCTTGTAAGTTGACCTCGTGTTTAGTAGGTCATGTGATATGTCAGAGAACAGTATAAATGCTTAGGCTGTGTTTTTGTTATAGAAACGAAGAGTGTAAGAATGGATCACTGAAATAGCTACTTGAGGACCAAATTTAGTTTTGTGATTTGATCATGAGATTTAGAGACAGTGTTTTGTGGACAAATAGTGAATCAGCCCTTCATTTCCCCACCATTAATCTAGTGAAATGCTACATCTTATCTGGCTTTAAGCATAAAGCATCAGGAGAATGTTATGAAAAATAATTTTGCTAAAATGTAAGGTGTGATTTTCTGTGTATTTATCAGAATTATCACATGTGTGGCTAATTTAAAGTGGCCATCTCTACATCACTGCTCAGATATGTGGCCAGCATACGTATGTGTACGTGCATATACTCAAGTACGTGCCCATTGAACTGTGCCTCTCTAGGTAAAACGGAACTTCAAGAACTCATTATCTTGAGAGCTTGAAAGCCTGATAAGATGTGAAATATCGGCAATACTTGAAGCAATTTCATTTATAGTTTTAAAATTGTAAACTTGTTTTATAATAATCTACCAAGTTTTTAAATCTGAGACATATGGGTAAACTTTATAAAAAATAAGGCTATTTGGAATATATAATAAGCATTACGGTCTCATCTATTCTTAAATTATATTTGTAAAGAAAATGGGAATCTATATTTTAATTAAGTCTTTAAGTGCACATCAACTCTTTACTGCTCACTTAATTGAACAATAAATTTGCTAGTTGCCACTTGACAAGAATCAAGGTATGTTTAGAGTATGTGTCAGCCTGTCTGAGTTAGTTTATAAGACCAGTCATGTAAGGGTTTTAACTATTATTCATCTTACCTGCATATCAGAGTGTCCCGTTTATTCCAAAGCTAGGATCTCTCCTCTGAATCTCTACATGTAATCATGTGTATATGTCATATGTGAAATCACCCGCCTCACAGCCGTCTCTGACGTGCTTGCTGCTTACCTCTTGGGATGCATGTGTGAGCTTCGCAGTGAGGCGGTCTCCGTGTTCCTAACGGGATGAATGCCGTTTCAGCTCACGCCTGCAGGCAGCCAGAAACCCCGGCGCACGCGGACGTGCGGGCCATCGACCTTCCTGCTTTTGGCTACACCTTGGTGTACACCTGCCACGCGGGCTTCTTCCTTGCAGGTGGCTCTGAACATAGGACGTGCAAGGCAGATATGAAGTGGACGGGGAAGTCACCTGTGTGTAAAAGTAAGTCATTGATCACGGCGTGAAGGCACATTCCTGAGAGCAGGGAGGAGCGTCCCTGCCCACCAGCAGATGAGCAGTTCTGAGGCCCAGGAGCAGCGGCAGGAGGAGGTGTCCTCAGCCAGCCTCAGCACACTCCGTGTGCTGAGCTGTGTGTGCCTGTATGTGCATACAGTGAGCGAATGATGTATACCTCAGGGTTACATGGACATAGAGACTTTATAATTTGCTATCTACATTTTAAGCAAAAGAGAAATGCTATGTGGCTGAAGAAAAATATTCTGAGTTAAAAGAAAAAATAATAGACAATATATTCTCAGAAAATGTGCTTCTTAAAACTGAAGATGCATAAATAAATATTACCAAGTGTCTGAGAATGTATAAGTGAAACTACCTGTGTTTTTGAATCCATAAGCTGTTTGGTGGTGAAGTAGATGTTTATATATTCTTAACATTCGTTCTATTTTTTGAAGTTACAAAAGCAATTAGCATGAAAAGGATGCTTTAATTACAGATTTGTGTGTTTACAAATGAGAGTAACATGTGAGTCAGAATTGCTGGCAGCAAACCTGTCACATTCTAACCAATGTGGTTTGCGGATCCGCCTTGCGTCTTGGACAGCAGGAAGCAAGTTTGTGGAGTACATCAGTCTTGGCTTCCTGGAGCACATTTACTCAGAGTCTCAGGTTAAGGATTTTAAAATACACCCCTTGGCCCTTCCCCATCAGAATAGAAGAATACGAGCTTTTAAAAATCATCATTTGTAGTTTGACCTGTAAATATAAAAGCTTCGAGACAGTAAAGTAAGTGTAACTCAATAGACTGAATGAACTCCGTCTTCTTCCATGCCAGAAGATTTGGGGCCCTGGGACACCAGAGGGTTGGAATCCTGGACACCTCAGGTAGCTGGCCCTAGTGTGAGGCGGTGTCCCCAGCAGGGTAATAGAAGGCTGACCCAAGCCACCCTCATTTGCAAGGCTCTCTGTTGTAGCACCTGAGTGGATTTGCCCATGAAGTGGGTGTGCAAGACTCCTCCTGTGGAAGGCAGCTCTCCACGACACACAGGACACTGTTCACACATGGGCCTAAGATGCATACGGATGCGACAGTCATATTTGGTACATTTAAAAAATCTGGAGAAAGGAAAATTGCTTCAATTTGACATTTTTTTTCAAACTTATTAAAAAATAAATGTTTTTGAAAATGATAATTTGTCTTTTTACTTGTAGGTAAAGGAGTGAGAGAAGTTAATGAAACAGTTACTAAAACTCCAGGTTTGTATACCAGAACAGTTATAGATTTCAATCAAATTAAGTGATTTGTTCTCTCCTTATTTTGCACAGTGAAACAATTCTTAGCATTTAAATTTCTGAATCCATTACACGGGGCAAAGTAGCATTCTGATGATTTGACACCCCACACCTGCGCAGATTTCTGTTTGATTTGCTGCAGGGGTTTGTGAGTGGAACAACATTGTGTGCAAGGGCAGCCCTGGACATGCTTGCTCACGATTTGCTTCCACAGAGGCAAAGGACAGGCTGAGCCCACGCGTGGTATGATGGAGAGCCTTATAAATAGGGTTGCAGTCCTTCCTCTGTGTGAGGGAGCTAGCCCCAACCAAGCATGATGGTGTGCACTGTCACCAGAGCAGTTCACACGGGCAACCCCGTCTTCCAAGGACCTGCATGATCCATGATTTCCATATCTCTGCCTTCCAGCAAGCTCATCATTGAGCAAATGCCCCACATGGCCTGTCACCATGTGGGGCATTTGCTCAATGCATCAGGCAGTGAATTTGAAAGGCGCAGTCCTGATCCTAAGAGAGGGCTTCTGTATCTGACATCATTTGGCAAGGTGGCTCTGTGTTACGGATTTGGATACTATTTAAATCAAACAAGTATCCCCAAATTTGTTTGTTTTTTTAAGCATAAATAGTCTTTGTAAACATATGAGGTCAATGACTAGTATTTTCCTTACTTGGGTATTAATGCTGGTTTCTTGGACATGATGCTCTATTTTGACATCAGTGTGGAAGGAAACTGGTAATGCCGTGCCGCACAGTCAATTCTTAGGTGAGGCAGATCGCATGATAGAGGACTCTCTCCATCCTACACAATGAAGAACATAAAATCATCTTTCCTCACCATTTCATTAAAATATCACAAATCAAGTACAAGCCACACTTTCTTTAACAGAAGGAAACAGCATTTCATTGTCATGTGTTTCTTGTTTTGTGTTTAAGATATTTAAATATCTACATGTGCTTTTTGTAGGTGCACACATTATTTTCAGGGTAACTTTTCTCCTCTCTGAGGAAGTGCTAACTAGATACGGTTCTTTATCATGGTGGTCCACACTAGGTTCTTTATCATGGTGGTCCACACTAGCATGGCTCTGCTATTGGCTGGGTGCACTGGCCCACTACCCGCAGGAACTCAAGTGGCAAGGACCCAAGGAGAATGCTACCCCATGACTGATGGTCATGTCTGAATACAGAGAGGTGGCTCTGAAGCCCCGGTGCTACCTTAACCTACCCAGTCAGGGATGCCCACTACTGGGAGACACCCTCAGGCCTGGAGGGAAGGGGTGCACACATTAATATTCTCAGCTGAGTGTTACAGAAACCAGTCTTGAAAAACAATCTGGGCTATTCTAGAGGCTGTTGGTTTTAATAAATTAAACATTTGGGGGTTGCCAGTTAAAATCAGGGCCTCTGCAGCCACTGTTTAATGTCAGTCATCTCCAAGTATCTCAGACACTTGTGCTGAGACATCATTTTAACTTAGTTTTATTATTTGAATGTCTTTACTGTAAGCTGGGTTTCCACAAAGCCATGGAAGCCTCACTCTGCTCTCGGGCTTCTCCTACTAGGGTCTTTGCAGGCTGAGCTTGTCCAGGGACACAGGAAAGTGGCCAATAGGCTGCAAAAAGAAGCGGGGACACCGTTGTGACTTCATGATTTCCACTTTATTAGATTTACTGAAGATATTTTTAGAGAGAAGTGAATCATTCTTTCTACCTAGCAACTGAATGTGTTTTGACCAGTTCTACTTGCAGGGAACTTGTTTAATTGAATTTTTTTGCTACATCATGAGGAGATGTACCTCATAAGGGAGAGAATCTTAGGGAAACCCTGATGTGGACCTTTACATTGTAATGCGTTGATGTTTAGGTCGACATTAGGAAAAAGGCAGGATTTTATACATAATTGCTACCTGAGATGTGGAAGATAAATGTAATACTTTTTATAAATTGTGAAAATAAAATACGTCAGGAACCTCTGCATGCATTCCTGACCCAGATTCATCTGTTTAAAAGACTCCATGCCTTTTATTTCTGAATTTAGTAGACATACACAAAAGAGGCAGCGGAGGCGACCACTTCTCCCTTTCTGACTAATGTTGGGATGTTTTGCAGAAGGAGACTCAGGTAGAGCAGAAGAGCATGGGGGAGAGCGGTCAGCTGCACTTGCAAAGCAAAGCCCTCAGTGAAGCAAGGCCCCTGTCTTCACAAGCTGGTGCTGTCCACGTGCTCAGAAGCATGAGCTTGTTGAGGGCAGGCGCACCTCACAGATGACATGAGTCATTCCCTCTAAGTGTGTGTCTTCCAAAGAGCAGACAGGGTGCTAGTGAGGTATCAGCGGGAGTCCAGGGGGCAGTGAACACTTTCCTACTGAGCACAGGAAAATGACGCTAGCCTTGGTAGAACCACCTCCCAGGCCCACACTGTGGAGGTCCGCCTCGCAGGCTCCCGGGCTCCCCTGCCTCCGCAGAGCAGAGCTGTGGCCTGCACAGAGCAAGGGCTGTCTCTTCTGACCGCCACGCACACTGTGTGAGCACAGTGCCCCAGGTGACCTCCTTGCTGTTGACGGTCATCTCTCACGAGCAGGGTTAGGCCGTCTGAGCTTGAAATGTCCACACAGGTGTGTGTGTGTGTGCTGACGTCATCTGTTCCCTTCCCTGCAGTTCCTTCGGATGTGTTTTTCGTCAGTTCGGTGTGGAAGGGATATTATGAATATTTAGGAAAAAGACAGCCTGCAACTCTAACCATTGACTGGTTCAATGCAACCAGCAGCAAGGTGAACGCGACCTTCACGGCAGCCTCGCAGGTGCAGCTGGAATTGACAGGTAGGCGCTGAGGGGCTTGGTCAGGCACCCGGGAGCAGCGGTGGGGCCCTGCCTGTCCCGGGGCTCGTGGGTGGGAAGTGCTTGCTCTTGCTGTGGGGGCTTTGCAAGCACAGCGTCTCAGCAGCCCCCGACAGCGACGGCTGGTTGACACAGCTTGCTCTGGTCAGGAGTGCAGAGCTCCCACAGTGGAGTGCAGAGGGTCAGCAACGTGCACAGCACTGATCCAGGGCCTGTGGGTCACATCCAACCCACGGCGCTGAATTCCACTCTCTTCAGGTCCTCTGACTCACGTCCTCCTCCCCAGTTTTGTCACCACCCGTGACTAAAATGACAATATTAGTAGGAAAACAAGCTCTGATTTCTATGCCAGCACATACATGCTTCTTAATTTTAAGCATGTCTTATCTATTGTCTTTTTCATTCTTACATAAATCCCATGGTGCAAGTTCCCTTATGTGATATTGTATATGACACACATATGTGTGTGTGTATATATATATATATAATATATATATGCGTGTGTGTATATATATTTACTGACTTAAAAGGGAAGAGAGAGAGAGAGAGAGTTGGTCTCAGGAACGTTAAGTAGCTTGCCTAAGGTGATATGTTAAGTAGTCGTCAGAGGCATAGCTGAACTGACAGTTAGAATCTGAGCCCTGCTAGGAACAGACACGTTCAGCTTCCTTCATACTTAAATGTAGTGATTTTAACCCCCCATTCTTGTAACTATATACCATTTGCCATAAACTGACTCCCAAAGGCTTGAGAGTCTCCCTGAATTACCCACAAGAGGCAGCCCTGGTTCTGAACACCAAGCTGTCTCAAAATGCCACACCTCCCCCCCACAGTAGGTGACTCATCCTTGGGGTCAGGTTCCCCACCCCTCACATCTCACTTTACTGTCCTTGGATAGGAAAACATGTAAAATAGCCCATATGCTCTGCATTAGGAAAAAGAAACTGTTCCCCACCTCAGATGTCCACAGGGTGTGCTCCTGGGCTCCTGGGCTGGTGGCCCCTGGGCTCGTGGGCTAATGGCCCGTGGCTCAGGACCCCACACTCCCTTATGCTTTGCCCATGTGAACGAACACATGACTCAGAGCAGGTATTGAACATCTAGTTGTGTCAGAATAAACTAAGGAGCTTTTAAATATTTACACTCCTCAGCTCCAGCCACATAGTTTAGATCTTTCTTCTTACAGAACCAGAGATTTGAACTTTCCCCCAAAGAACGTGCCCCCAGGGGACTCAGTGCCCCCCAGACTCTGGATCAGTGTTGGGGGGCCTGTGGTTGCCCCAGGGGAATGAGTCCCAGGACACAGACTCCACCACGCAGCCTGGCTTGAAAGAATGGGTGGGGCAGGAAGGGCAGCGGACACTGTGGTGCCCACTGGGACAGCGGGTTGGTTTTGCTGCTGCTGTTTAACCCTGGTCCGCTCTCAGGAGGTGGTTGTACCTCTCCCGTGGCGGGAAAAGTCGCCCACAGGAGAGGGCTGGGGTTGGACCCAGGCTCCCTCCTGGTGTCTGCCAATGGACGCTTTCCTGGCACTTTCCGGATGGCTCCTCTGGGCGGAGTTAGTGGGAGCCCCCTGCAGCTTCTCTTGGGAACTCCGCACCCTTGCCTGCAGGTGGCGGCAGCCCGCGTGTGCAGCGCCTGTTTCTGTGCTGGTTCTCTCCTCCCGTGGTGGGAACTCACCGCAGGTGCAGCCCACCCCCTCGACAACCCGCCAGTCGTTGCCCTCCACCCGGTGTAGCCCCCAGGAGTGATGTCCGTCCCCCGTGCCCCTCTCTGTGGCTGGGCCGGCATCCTCGCTGGCCTCCTGAGCTCCTCCTGCAACAAGGGCCCACGGCCTCCCTCCAAGTAGCTGCATTTGTGTTGCGGTTTAGGTCTGTGTTTCCTACATATTCCTGCCCCCAAAGTCAATAAAATATGGATAAAAAATTCTGGATCTTTTAGAAGACTCAAACACACACTCCTGTCCTTCCTGGCCTGGTTCAGTGAGGTGAACCAGGTCCATTAAGGACTCTCACGAGCTGCCAGTGTTTTGGGGGGAAGCACTGAGGCTAAGACTCAAAACTAAAACCAGGACTTCTGTAGGGTTTCTGTGAGCTGGGGCCTCGCCCGCTCTGGCTGTGCTCAAGTCCGTGGCTAAGTGGCTGCCGGTGGCCCTGAGGATCCTCCGGCGGGACTGACGCCTGTCTTTCCACAGGTGTTTACAAGAAGGAGGAGACCCACCTGCTCCTGAAAGCTTTCCACATTAAAGGCCCCGGAGACATTTTTGTGAGCAAGTTTGAAAACGACAACTGGGGTCTCGATGGCTACGTAAGTGCCCGCCGGAGGCCTCCTCGCACCCCGTGCTCTGGGCAGGGTGGGGGCACCCACCTGAGCAGAGAAGTCACTCTGTCCCTGGAGACCTGGGGTCCCCTTGGCAGCAGGGCCACTTTACCCCTCATTTTATAGTGGTGGAGACCAAACTCAAAATGAGAATCGTTGGCCAAGAGCAAAGCAGCCGTTCTACCAAGGACAGAGCAGGGCTGACCACGGCTCTCCCCGGAGAGCACCGCAGCCACCCATTGTAAGGCACCGTGTGGCCACTCTGGGAGTCCTGAGCCGGCATTCCTGGTGGGGAGGTTTCCTTAGCACCTTCTTTGCGAGTCATCTTGCTGTGTCCTGGTCACGTGTGACACGGGCACACAGCCTCGTGAGGCACACAGGCCAGTCGCTGGGCCTGCGTGAGTGAGTTTCCCATGCGGGAGCTGTGATTATTCATCCGTAGCTCCATCTCCCTGTCACAAGGCAGTTACCACACTGCCCTCTCAGGGGTCAGATTGAGAGGGTCAGCATGAATCCAAGTTAGTGGAAGTCCAGCCTGTATGACTTTCGGTTTCTAACTGTAAATATGCCATAAATGTGGGATGTGACAGCGACTCGGGACAGCAGTGACGACACTGAGGTCACCAGGACCCGCTGGCCTCCTTTTCACATGTCTCCTCCCTCTTCCCACTTACCAGGTGTCCTCAGGACTTGAACGGGGAGGATTCACTTTCCAAGGTGACGTACACGGGAAGGACTTCGGGAAGTTCAAGCTGGAGCGACAAGGTAAGCTGCGCAAGGCCCCCTTCACTAAGGAGGAGCGCAAAAGGACATGACTCCCAAAGAAACCCCAGCAACACTCAGGAGGGCCTGGCACATTCACAAACAAGACAGAAACAAAGCTGGGGATGATGCACCAGGTACATCACTGTGGGATTAGCATCCTTCTGCATCAAGAAAGGTTTAGAATTAAGGGCACAAACAAAGATGGAACTCAAGTTAAAAATGAGCAACTCTACTACCCTAAGAAAACTAAGGGATGTTAAAAGTAAAAAAGTCTGTATCTCTACAAAGTATCAATGGTCATGTTCAGTTGCCAGAATGTGCAGCTTAAAGCACAGTGTTGGCTGATCCCAGGACACTCAGGCGTGCAGTTCTGGGGATGGAGAGTGGATACGCAGGACTGACAGTCCTCTCCTCCAACAGCCTCTCTCCAAAATGTTTGGCCTGCGTGTACGAACCCTGTTCTTCCCACCAGGTGCATCTGCAGGGGCTCCTTCAGTAGTTCAGATAGCTCGTGCACGCCACCTGTGGCCACAGGGGACGGCTTCAGCAAAGGCGTTTGGGGATGCATTGCATCAGGTAGGACACGGTGTACTCAGCGCCATGGGTCCAGCGAGTGAGGCCAGCACACAGGAGACCTGTTCACTCCTGGCAGAGCCTCCTGCCTTGTGTGTTCCTTCTCTTCTTCTGATTTTGACCTCAGCGAGGAGACGGGAAGGTGCAAGGCAAGGGCCGCTGCAGTGAATCCTGCCTCACTGATGAGCTGGCCAGGGGACGGAGGAAGAGCCGCAATTCTGTGGAGCACGGTGTAGCTGCGTGCTGAGGGGTCTGCACAGACATGCCCTTCACGGAGCCATAGGCCACGTGCACCAGTGCAGGGGAGACACAGGTTGTATGGGGTTAGCACTGCGTTCCTGCCAGATGGTTGGAACTACATTATGCGCTGCTGGAAGAGGCTTCGGACATGCCAATTTATGAAGAGGAAGATTGACGTGCAGAGGCACAGGAGGGCAAAGCTCTGTGGTGGTGATCGCTGATGCACTCCTTCCCCAGGACCTAGCCTGAGCCCAGGGAGGCAAAGGGCAGGTTGCCAGCCTGCCAGTCAGCACCCTGGACAAAGGAAAGCCAACCGTGCAATGCCCTCTTCCACCATTCCAAACGCAGGGCACCATGGAGCAGAAAAACTTTAAATTATGATGCTAGCAATTAACTGTGATGCCAGGCCATCTTTCAAAGTGAACTCTGTCATCTGGGGTAATGGAATAGAGGGACCCCTTAGACCAACACTAACGATGGGAGACACTTTTCTTTCACCTTCAGCTAGATCCTGAAGCGGCGTGCTCGCCCTCTCCCAGCGGTACAGGTTGTCATCATTTTTAGGACACACCACAGGCCCGGGGAGACCCTGTGGAGGGCCAAGTTTACTCACGTAGTGAACCGACCCAGACTACAGTGTGCTGTCACCCATTTTCTTGGCATTACTGTCTTCCCTTTTAGCCTAACTAAATAACAGCTTGAATTAACAAGTAACTTTTATTCTCATATGGTGATAAGCTTATTGTCAGGGAGAACAATTTGCTTCACAAAATAATTTGAATCTCAAACAATTTTCACATTCAACTAATCAGAAAAGTCTGTTTAAGTAACATTTCAGGAAAAATCGTTCATTTAAGAGTGATGGCTACAAACCTATTTTGTGGAGAAAAATAACCATCTGGTTGTCTCTGGTCAGATAAACTGGAAAAAAATGTATCATCATTAAATGGATACTGAAGTCCAGTTAATTTGAAGACAGTGTTAGTGGAAAATCTTGTGTGAAATAATCAACGTAAATTAATTGCCCTATTAAAATCGAATGACTCCCATATACAGAGAAGGAGAGAAGATGTGTGATCATCATGGGTCTGATAACTTACCTCCATCCAGACGGCAGAGGACTCCTGCTCCACAAACAGAGGAAGACACCTAACCACCAGCATGGCAAAGGATTGAGTGGACTGTTCTCTGAACATTTGCCAATGACCAACAAATGCCCGATAAACCCACATGTAGCCCATGACAGCCAGAAACAACAGGGGACTTCAATGGTCCCCAGGGCTCCAGCCCACTCCAACCACAGGAAAAAGTGGTGACTATTCCACCCACCCAAGTCCGACGCCCAGGGTGAAGGCTCCCCTTGGCTTGACTCTGTCCCATGCCCATCCCCTGGGTGCTCAGGTTTAGAGAGAAAAGGTACCTGTCATTTCCCTTTGCATTAAGCAACTTCAGGCAATGAGGCCAAATTCATTTAAAAACCTATTTTATAAAGAAACTCTTCAAGAACCAACAGCTGTCTTTGGCAATTGACAGGGAATCGGTGTTTGCTGGTCTGTTTTCCCCTGGCCTGTCTCAGAGCTGTGCAAGCACTGGCTCTGCAGACCAGGGCAAGGGGTGGAGCCTGTGCAGCCTCTGAGCTGCCCGCCTTCCCTCCTTCTGGGCACAGCGCGTGGCTCAGCACTTCTCTTGGCCCCTGCAAACTTGCACTGTGACGTCCAGCTGCAGCTTCCCTTCAGTCCAAGACTTTGGAGAATCTACATAGACAACAGATGCTTTGTTAGGTACTCCTATGTGCATAAAAACTATCACTCAAACAAAGGGTGCCTAGTGGCCCTTCATCTCCCTCACGTCTGCACTGGGAGACTCCTTCATAGCCCCCTCGGCTGTAGTGTAAGGAATTGCCAGGCAGCTTTTGTATGTTGGTCATTAAAATGGACATTGAATCTCCAGAAAGAGTGTCAGATTCCAGTGGAAAGGAAATCCCTGCTTCTCACAGAGTTTGTGATCACTGATTAAATTTATCATGCACATCGCTTTGCTTGAGTCTGGTACAGTAACTGCACATTTTAACCCCTCTTGTCTTCCAGATCCCCTGGGCTCTGGTGAAGACCCCTCGAACCAGTACCATGGCACCAGCAGCGGCTCTGTGGCAGCTGCCATCCTGGTTCCTTTCTTCGCTCTCATTTTATCAGGGTTTGCATTTTACCTCTACAAACACAGGTACTGGAGCAGCATGGTCTACTCACAAATGTGCAGAGTGTGAAGTGTTGGTGTGAGCCACGGCGTGCACTTGGATTTCACGCATGTGTGTTCTGCATTGCTATGCTAGGAATGCTGTGTGCCAAGGATTTGTGTTGCTGGTTTCTTTTCCTTTGCTTGTTAGCTGTCCTCCTGTGTCAGAAGGTCACATCTGAGTAATGGGCTTTAAGAGAATAGGCCGAGAGGGGGCCTGTATTCCTTGACGTGGCCTTCAGCCTTCCGACAGAAGGGGAAATAATGCGCTCCGTGACCACTTTCCACCCCACGCATCTGTAACTCATGAATTGTTGAGCAATCTATTCCTTTAGCAGGCAAAAGTTGAGATCTTAACACACACTGAACAATATCATACTCACCATCCCTCTAGAATGTTCTGGGTATTTATTAATTTTTAAATACTGGTTAATTGAAAAGTGTCAGAACTTGGAGTAAAACAATTTTATTGAATTGAATCCTTTCCTTGGAGTCAATGTGGATGCATTTCGAAGGAAGGAAGGAAGGAAGGGAGGGAGGGAGGAAGGAAGGAGGTTGCAGAGTGATTATAAAGTCCTTGCTGTCCATGGGAATAATATGTTACTCTGAGGAATCTGGTTTATGCAAAATCATTCTAATCTACTGAATGAAAAGTATCATTCCCTAAAACTAACAACAAAATGTAGCAATCCTCTGGAACAAGGTAAAAGTATATTAGTTATGCCAAATATCAATTTATAAGACACACATATTTTCACTTAATTCTGGTTAAAACAAAATAAACCTAGTCCAAGGAAGGTTACATTTTAGTAACTTGTAGGGCAAATTTTTAAATATGTGTTTTCCTATAATTTAAAAAATCTATACAAAATAGTAAGAAGGTTGCTTCACAGTTGCATTGCACAAACAGTTTGCAGGTATACTAGCAGCACCTCTGGTTGGTAAAGTCTGTATTTTAAAAACACAGCTCAGTAAAAGAAATCTCAAGTGGTATTTACAAAATTATAGATTGGTGGCTGGAGTGTAGCTTGGTGACTTTGCATGCACAAGGTCTTGGGTTAAATGCCCAGCACATACACAAAAATGATTGGCACAACATTAATTATTATTATTTTTTTATTTTGAAGAAAAATATCCTGAGCTGGTGTGGTGTCACATTTGTGTAATTCCAGAGACTTGGGAGGATGTGGCAGGAGGATTGCAAATTTGAGGCCAGCCTCAGGACTTAACCAGATCCTGTCTCAAATAATTTTTAAAAGGTCTGAGGATGTAGTTCAGTGGTAAAGACCCCCTGAGTTCAATCTCCAGAACCTCCCTTTAAAAAAACAAGGAAAAAAAATCCTGTGCACCCTGGTCTGGTGAGCCTTCCACTTGGGATTCTGCTCCTCAGCTGGTGTAAGAGTCAGTCAGTGCAGACACAAGGGTCACAGCCTCATCCCACTCAATGCCGGGACAGGAAGAGTTTAAATTGATGTATCTTCTTTCACAAATTCTACTAGGCACTGTCACACCCCTGGGGACACAGACAGCACTGATAATTCACACAGACTTGCCTTTGCTGGTGTGGCATCCACGCCACCCCAGGGAGAGGGTCTGCTCCATTAGAGCAGAGTCCCTGACCTTCCTGCCACCCAGTGGCGAGAGCCCTCTGCACCCTCCGCCAGCCCATGAGTCCTGTTAGATGGTGCCCCACACGTCAGAGAGCAGGCTTTGTTGTGGCTCAGAGATGAAGCCTTCCTACGGGCCTGAGCATCTCCTGTCCTATGGAAGGTTGACCCCGCACACTAAGCGTGGCTGTGTAAGGTAAAAGGACTTCCAGTTGCAGGGTATCCAGAGCACACCACCGCTCTTGTCTGTCCACCCGGACATTGCTCTGCTCATGCTCCGTGGCTGAATGCCTCTGTGGAGGCCACGCATGGACAGCCTCAGACTGGCCACGGTGCCTGGGTTCTCTGTGGTCTGATGCCTCCTGTGGCGGGTGGGGCCCTGGCTGTCATCCTGACTGCCCCACCCGCCCAGGCTGCTTTCTGTAGCTGGAAGGCCACTCTTGCTCACTGCTCGCTTTCTAAGTTCAGTGTCTGTGACGTCTCTGGCTCCTGGGGCTGCTGAAATTGACATTTTGCTGACAGAGACCCATTTTCTGAGGTCACACACTTTTTATATGTCTTTTTCCAAATGAACACGTTGTAACTTGAGAGAAAATCAACAGAAACTCACTCAAGCAGAAGGTTTCTTTACATCCAGTCTCCCCTGGCTCTTGGCTGGCTTGGCTCTGGGAGTCCTGTTGAACTGGACTTCTGTCCTCACCTCCTGACACTGTCCTCTGCAGTTTCCCCTGGAATAAGGAAAACAGACGAAGAAGCCGGACCACTCGTGTTTAGATCTCTTCAGTCTAGACACCCTCAGTGCTTGTATCAAGGGTTATATGTGTGTGGGGGGGACTCTTTTCACCACCAAATATAAAGACATTTTAATAATAAGGGTAGCTTTGTTTCTAAAAACAGACTGATTTTTAACTCACTAAAGAAAAAGTCAAACTTTCAAAATAAATAAATTTGGTGAATTTAAAAAGTCTCCAGGGCTGGGCACCCCACAGGAGGACATCATTCTTATCATCATTACTGCACAGTAACAAAGTTCATTGGCTTCCCCGCGGCCTTGTGACTGCTCAGGGACAGGTGACTGTCCAGACCAGACCCCACCTGCCTCCAGCCTGGAAGAGCATCCCAAGGAGCATTCCTAGGAAGCACCAATAATCATTTGATTTTGGAAATTGCTCCCATTTTTAAGCTCTATTATAATCCCAACTATTAGTGTGTGTGTGTGTGTGTGTGTGTGTGTGTGTGTGTGTGGTGCTGGGGGTTGAACCCAGGGACTTGTGCAAGCGAGGCAAATGCTCTACCAACTGAGCTGTATCCTCTGTCCCCATCCTTCAATTTTTTTTTTTAAAGTCAGCTCTGGTAAGTGAGCAGGTGGCCCCCGGCCCCGTCCCCATCCTGCACACACCACTTCCTGTGCCTGTGGGCCCCTCCCACCCCCAGCCTGGCTGTTTGGCCTCTGTGACTGACATCAGGACCCCTAACTCTGCACTCTCTCTCTTCCCTGCAGAACAAGACCGAAAGTTCAGTACAATGGCTATGCCGGGCACGAGAACAGCAATGGACAGGCGTCGTTTGAAAACCCCATGTACGACACAAACTTAAAGCCCACAGAAGCGAAGGCTGTGCGGTTCGACACCACTCTGAACACAGTTTGTACAGTGGTATAGCCCTCAGTGCCCCAGGACTGATCCATAGCCATACCTCTGACGGACAAGCGGTGATTCCTTTGGTGCCATAGACCACTCTCCCTTCTCTCTTGCTTTGCTGCAGCGTCCTTTCCCATTGTCCACCGGTGTACGTGCAGCAGGGATTCCACTCCAACGTGGCAGGGTCTTCTGAGGATCAAACTTCAAACACATCTCATTCCACACGTGGATTCGAAGCACCTGGCTGCACCGGCTCGAACCAAGGTCTCTCAAGGGAGCCTGCCGAGTCTCGGGGACGCGCTGAGCTCCATGCTTCAGTGTGGCTGGGAGGCCTTTCAATGCAACCTTCTGGCACGTGGATACATCCCTCGGGCGCGGTGACAAAATGGTAGCACCATGTTGTGTGTTGTTTGTTTTCTTTTCCACCCCCATGGACACAAATACTCTGAAAAGGAAAGGCTTCCTCCCAGGGGACAGCTCTCTGATAGATGCACACACCCACCAACGCTCCACTCTGCCCTCCCCGAGGTCTGACGAGCACGACGACCCCACGGCAACCCCGAGTGTCCATCACTAGGCACATCGGCACACTTCCCAGTCAGCTTCCTACTGCAGAATTTTTGATGCACAATTTTTTGCACTAGTGTGTTAGGAATGACTAAGATTCCGATAACTATTTACACAGGGTTTACACACACTGTCCACTGTATATAAGCATTCTTTCATGTTGTGAAACTGGACACACACACCCTCAGTTGAGTAGGAATAAGGGGGCTGGCCGCAGGGGCCAAGTCTCCAAGGGAAACGCAGTACTGGAGAGGTCTGTTTTGTCATTGCTTCCATTAGCTCCATTCATGTGCTGAACTCATTGAAGATGTCCAACAAGGAAAAAGAGGCCTTTGATTTCCCGTGTCCCCCAGCACCTTGTCCCCCAGTCCTTGTCTGTCATGCACTTCCTTGCAGAGGTGTCCGTTTGCCGTGTACAGATGTGAATAGTAATTTATTTAGGTAGCTCGTGGCTTGTGGGCCGGCTCCCTGCAGCCCGCCCTGCGGTGCTGGCTCCTCTTTCTCTGTGACGTCACTCTCTGGTATCGCACTGGAAGTCGGACACCAGAGTCGCACCTTGAACTCAGCGGGAATTGTTCAGGATCAAACACTAAGTGTCCCTTTGGAGGAAGGGAAGTGCACGCGTCTCCTCAGGACCCTCCATCCCACTGGTTGGTTTCCCATTTGTTTTACACTTTAGGGTTCCAGACAGATCATCTCATGACTTTCAGGCTACATCCCATATAGGAGACCATAAACCACACGATCAATAGAACAGTCTACGCTTCCCAAAGCGGATGAGATCAAAACCATGGGTAGGAGATGTGACCAGGAGAATGTGGTGTAAGAAATTCAAAGTGAAGATCATGTTTATTTTTATTTATACTTGTTTGATAAAAGTATTTTTGAAAAGATGACGCTTATTTTATTATTTGATGTTTAGTACATGTCCCACATGTCGAGGATCTCCCCTCTGCACAGTGGCGGTGTCAGGATGTGGCACTGGCCCCCGGCTTGCTGTGGGGGGCACACCCATGCTAGCGTTAGGACTGACGCGTCTGCCTGGCTGCTGACCTTTTCAGCGCAGGACTTCACCATGAAACACAGAAGGGACCCAGCAGGACACACACTGCTCATTCTCTGAAAGTCACGCATCCTGGTCTGAGCACTCAGTAGGTCTCGCACTCGGCTCCCTGGGCTCTGTTGCCAGGGGAAGGCGCACCTGCGCTGGGGCTCCCTGGCCTCCGCTGGCCACCTTGTGCTTCGGGCTCCATGTTTTTGGGCTCGTCTGTCCTTCTCTGGCCAAGCTGGCTGCTTTCCCAGAGATTGCTCTGCGGATGGGGATCCTCCCGTGGTTCTTCTGGGCAGACTGGCAGAAGTCCGGAGGAGCCGTGCTCCTAACACATACTGGACTAAAGAATAGAGAATGTCAAAGTGCGAGGCTCACTGTGTGCAAGGGAGAACAGGTCACTCTATATATACTAGGTGTATATACATATATATATATTGTACATATCTCAGTTTGGGTCATTCAAACGAGGTGCAAAATGCTGACTTCAGAGTCTGAATCAATGTCTCTGTCCCCACATCCCTGACTGCCTGCTGGTCAATGACGTCATGAAGTCCTGATGACAGGACGTGCATACACACAAGAAACCACATATCAGATTAGTACTATTTTCCTTTGTGTGCACATCAAACTGTCCTATGGTTGCCAGTTTGGAGCATGTTGTTCGACACCAATAGACAAAAATGGAGTGACTTTCAGGTGAGAATCCGCCCAGCCTCCGCTGGGGTGTGTGCGGTGCTTCCTGGGTCTCCGCGGGCGCGGGGGTGCGGGGTCAGGCCGCACTTGCACAGTGAGGGCTAGAGGACTTCCCGCAGGACCGCGGCGGGGGACCGCGAGCTGCGAAGGTCATGTGCTTCAAAGCTGTTTAAGACTGCTGCTTTCTCACACATCTTGCCTTCCCTTCAGGCTAGCTGCAATAATTTTTTTCTTCTGTAAAATATTTTGTACACAACAACAAAAAAGCTCTTATAAAAAGGGGAAAAAGAAAGCTGGCATTACGATCAGGAAAACGCACGTCATCGCCACCCCACCCCGCCGTCCCTCCACACGCTGCTGTCACGAAGTAGGTGCGAAGACCTTTTTGTACAGAGATATATTTTTTATGAAGAATTTGTAAAATTATTAAATATGCTGTAATTTTTTGATTAATGTAGGTAAATTGTTAAAAAAAAATAAATGTTTTTACAATACAAAACTGTAATTTTCCCAATAATGTAAAATGTACCATCTCTAGCTGATCTCCGGTCCCTGTCCTATTCCACACGTATCAATATTAAAGTGGCCTGTTAAAATGAACAGTATCTTTTTTGTCAAAAACTATAAAAAGTGTAATATAGCCTGTGCAATGCCACCTTATCTTTAAAGCAAATCAGAGTTCTAATTAAATATTTAATTTTAGATTTCTACTTTTCGTGTGAATTTGTTTTCGCTTTAATCTCTACATAATTCTGCCGTCGGGGGAGGGAGAGAATGAAGCTTGATTAAAAGGCTTTGATGTTCCTGGAACCAAGATCATAGTTTCCCAAGACTTCCATGTCGCTGTTATTACTGAACTGGCCACTTTGGGGAACCCGTGAAACAGCAGTCATGTTGAAGTGACATTGACAGCCAGAGTCAAGGTGGTGGGTCTGATTTCTGTTTCATTTGGGAAGTCTTTCTGTAAACTGGAAAATGACCGGCAAAGAGATCATAGACAGACATATCTAACAGCAAACTGAGCACCAGCCTTAAGGGTGGTGCCCCAGGAAACCCTCCCACGGCAGTTGTCCCCCGTTCCTGTCTCGGCAGAGTGCTTTGCCCAACCTCAGAGGTCCACAAAGCCCAGTGCTTGCGTTAAACTGAGCTATGCACTGATTTTCCTGAAAGTCAAATGAAGAACAGACAAAAATGAAAAAGAGCCTTACGCTGTCTTCAGAGTAATGCAGACTTGCTATGCAACTGGCACTCAGTCATCTGGGCCCTGATCTGTGCTTAGTTGACAATGATTGAAGACCTGCTGCATGCAGGACACTGCAAGAGTGACTTGCCGATGATGTGAAGGACCCTCACAGGTGTTGCCCCCACCTTTTTTTGTGTGTGTGCGGTGCTGGGGATTGAAGCTCGCCCATGCTAGGCGAGCACTTTCCTACCCAGCTGCACCCCCGTCCTTTCCTTTTCATATGTTAGAAACAAAGCAGAAATTTGAAGAAGTTACTTTACCCCAAACAGACATATAGGCAGGGCTAATATTGGAGGTCTGCTATTTTCACCAAAAATATCACGTTGTTATATTTTCGTAATGGCATTTTTCTTGTCAATTATTCTCTCATTCTACCTGTAAATCCCCCTTCATATGGTAAATGCTCTAAGTGCTGAAGGCTAAGATTTCTAAGAGAATGAAGCACTCTACATTATCAACCTTTCCCAGAATTCCCATGTGTAAGCCCTGGAGCCTGCATAGACGATTAAGGTGGAATTCTGCAGCTACCTACGTGTCTGATACATATGAAAATCACAAGGGCTTCACTTTGCTTTTTTAATTTGTCCTAATTGGTTATACATGAGAGTAGGATGTGTTTTGACACATTGTACACAAATGGCACAAGACTTTACTTTTGACCTTTCATCAAGGAATCTTGAAAGTTGCCTGGGGGCTCACCTGCCTCCTACTTCTGGGATATTTATCACAGGTAGGAAGCCACACACCAAGTAGGACCTCAAAATGTCATTGAATGTGAGCCCAGTGCCTCAGTGGCTCCATGCTCAGGGCATGGACTGTCTTGAAGGACCCTAAGCTTGACCCAAACACCCTGCGGCCTGGTGGCCGCCCAGCACAACTGCACCATCTGTCCCCAGCATCGGCCCAGTGGGGGCAGGCTTGCTTTGTGGGTGCGTCTCGTGAGCACTGGGTTCGTGCAGTGGCAAGAGGCAGGAAGAGCGACAGCCAGAGCTCGGGACAGCTGTGGCTTTTGAATCTCAGCATGTCACCCCTTTTTTTGTGGTGATGGCACCCAGCCATCCCTCAGCCACCGCTGCCCCATGATGATCATCGAATCTATTCCCACCCATCCCAGGCCAGGGGTGACGAGAAGTGCCTGTGCATGAGCTAGGACAGTCTCCTCCCTGGAGCTGCTTGACACAGCACGGCACCTCTGGCAGTTTCCCCAATGCCCGACCCAGCGCACTGTAGACCGCCGTCCCACACCGACACTTGCATCCCCCACCCGCGGTGGCTCTGTCCTCTTGGACCTGGGCTGCCCCTGCCTTTCCAGAAAATCCTTTGTTCTTTCTTCAGCTTCCTGGGCTCCGGTACTGCCTCCTGCAGCTAAGGAACTACACAGCCGTGATGACCACGCCGGCTGAGGGAGAGCCTCGGAGGTGGACAGACCTGACCTCCGCGTGGCCTGACTTCAGGTGCTCTAGCTGC